TCACAGGATTGGAAGGGACAATCCACCTCACTGACTCCAATGCCCTGCTACTGCAGGCAACAATATCATGTTAACCCATTCATAACCCTGAAATGCCATCTTAAAGATAGTAAGGCTTTTTGCCCCCTTACTCCTACTGGGAGTAGCTCCAAATCTTCATTTTGTCCCAGCTCAGTTTTTATGGCATGTTGGCATGCTAACCTCAGTGCTCTTGGCAGTGGTGGTCTCAGTCACAGTACACTATTGCAAACAAGGGCCACGAGTGGGAACATGCACTTTGTGGCGCCTCAAAGGCTTTTGAGGCACTGCAAAAAGTACACAGTGCATGTGAAAAGGTTTGTTGCACTGTGCCAAAATTAGATACTGGAAAATCCTGGTATCTAAAAAAAAAGGGGGGACAATAAAAGTGACCCCCAAAAAAGTGACCAAAAAAAAGCAGGGTCTTCACCACCCAAAACCAGAGCCCTGGATGGCCAGAGCCATGCCCTGACTGCCAGCCAGGCTGCTTGCTCCTGGATTACCACTGCTGCAGCCCCGGGAGACCCCCAGGCCCAGGTAAGGCTGCTGGGTCCAGGCCTGGTGCCTCCCTTACCCCTGTCAGAACAATCTGCTGCACACCAGAGCACACATGCAGGGGCATTCCCCAGGCCAAGTAACAGTGGCATAACTATATGCTGCTGCTATTTGTCCCTGAGAAAAGCACATGCACACTTGTGGGGTGGTGCTCTCACTATTCAGATTGCTAGAGATGCTCAAAAAATTCAGCTCAGCTTATTTCATTTTGGAGGAAGGACACCTGATGCAGCAGTGTGCCTGAAGGTACTGCTGTGAGGCATGGTAAATTCACATGGCCTTATATATTCCATTTGAAAAAGCAGGCTGTCATCTACAAAAGTTTATGCCTCACTGAACCAGTTAGGTTCTAAGGTGCCATCTCACCATGAGTTCTGCCAAAGCTATAGCAATTCACCACATTTTACATCCAGTGACACTGTAAATTAGGAAAGGAAATTCAGATATTTGCAGGTAGCAGATTTTGCTTTGCAGTTACAGTAAAAAGCCACTAGTAATCAAAATGTATAATCTTCTCCAAAATATAATACACAGTGGTCACGTCTACATGAGACATTTTTTGCACAGGATCTCATTACTACTGCGCAGGCAGCATCACTACACAACCATGGCGGGGTGCTACTGCACAGTTACAGCTGGTTATGCAGCTTGGTTATGCAAGTATTAAATGACTGCCCAGTAACAACTGTGTAGTCAGTGTCTTGTGTAGACACAGCCAGTAATTGGGAAAGATTGTACCCATTTTGAATGCAAGGTGAAATATCCCACAATAAAAAAGAGAGTAAAAGTAAGGTAGGCAGGCAACCATTTTCTAGAATATATCTCATTAATGAACAGAAGTCATAATTAGGATGTTTTGAAACTATCATAGGTTTGTAAGTGTCTGTACCTGCTTTTGAAAGGCAACATGATCAAAATAGTAATATGCACATTTTGCATGTTTCAAGAACTATAATTTTAGATATATATAACAGCTATAGAGATACTTAGGAGAAAGAAATCTTAAGAGGAACACAACATAGGCACTGAAAGAAATGGAAATTATGAGGTAAAGGCAGAAGATTATGGAATCATAGAAGTTAGGGTTGGAAGGGACCTCAGGAGGTCATCTAGTGACCCCATGCTCAAAGCAGGACCAGTTTCAACTAGATCATCCCAGCCTAAGCTTTTTCTAGTCAAGTTTTGAAAACCCCCAAGGATGGAGCTTCCACCACCTCTCTGGGTAACCTGTTCCAGTGTTTTACTACCCTCCTAGTGAGAACATTCTTCCTAATATCTAACCTAAACCTCCCTTGCTGCAACTTGAGACCATTGCTCCTAGTTCTGTCATCTGCCACCACTGAGATCAGTCTAGCTCCATCCTCTTTTGGACCCCGCTTCAGGTAGTTGAAGGCTGCTATTAAGTACCCTCTCAATCTCCTCTTCTCTAGATTAAATAAGCCCAGTTCCCTCAGTCTGTCCTCATAAGTCATGTCCCCAAGCCCTTTTACCAATTTTGTTGCCCTCCGCTGGACTTTCTCCAATTTGTCCACATCCTTTCTGTAATGGGGGGCCCAAAACTGAACACAGTACTCGAGATGTGGCCTCACTAGTGCTGAAGAGAAGGGAATAATCACTTCCCTTGACCTGCTGGCAACACACCTACCAATGAAACCCAGTATGCCATTAGCTTGCTTGGCAGCTAGGGCGCACTGCTGACTCATATTCAGCTGATGTCCACTGTAACCCCTGGGTCCTTTTCTGCAGAGCTGCTTCCCAGCCAGTCACCCCTCAGCCTGTACTTGTGCATGGGATTATTCCATCCTAAGTGCAGGATTTTGCACTTGTCCTTGCTGAACCACATGAGATTTCTTTTCAGTGGATAGGACACAGTACAGAAGAGCAGATGAGTATCTATCAGAGAAGCAAATATAATCTATCAGCTGAATCAACCACTGAAAAACTAATATCCTTGTATACAACAAACTGGCTTTCAGAGCAGGCCAAGAGACACTTGACAGGCCACATGTGTAATAGGGACCCTACACCATTACTGGGGATGAGAGGGAGCCAGGGAATAGCTGACTGGCTCCAGCCTCTGGAGGAACTGGTAGGGGTAGAAGGCCCTTTAATAAAATGACTGCCTAGCCCAGATGTGGCCGGCATAGTGCAGCTGATTGACAGGCCTGGGACAGAAGTAGTGGGTCAGGTGACCCAGAGAGGGGCATATAAGCCCAGGGCCTGAGGCAAGGCAGTCTGGCCCTGAATGCTGCAGGGAGCAGAGCTTCGGGAAGGAGAGAGGCCTAACTAGCCAAAGAGGAAGGACTCCAGGCTGTAGGGAAGCTGAGAGGAAGCCCCTGCACCACCAGACAGTGGAACATATACAATTTTGACCCTGTGTTGTAGTGCTGCCATGGTGTAGTTCTGATCCAGGATTGGGGGAAGACTTTGTGAAAGCAGCTCATATTTTGCCATTTGTATAAATACCAGAGGACCGGATTATAGCTGTAGGGGCAAAGCAGACCACCAAGAAAGGTGCCAAGAGCATCCCAGGTCCTAGACTCTTTGAAAGGGGGGATTGCTGCTGTTGGCAGAAGGATTCTGGTGTCAGACAGCAAAGACTGGGGGCACAAGCCTGGAGTCCACAGAGGGTAAAACCAGAAGCTGAGAGGGCCTGGTGCCTGCAGCGGGTATGGCTGAAGTTGGGCCTGAAAGCCTAGGGTTCTGGTACAGTAGGCCTCAGGCAGAGGGACCCAGCTAGAGTAAAGTGGGCCAAGGCAATGGGCTTCAGCCCAGACAAGGGCCTAAGACCTGAAGCAAACCCCCCTTGCCCTCTAGGGACAAACATATACGCATAACATCAAGGAATGGCAGACAAGACAACAGGGTGGGACACTGCAAGGCCAGAAAGGGTGGGACCCAGGCAGCTACCAGGTGTGACTTGGCCACCCCAGCACTGGACCCGCTACAACATGATCAAGGAGTGTGAAATTAGTTTTGAAATCACATCCAAAATGTATTACCTCATAAAACTGTTCTTTAATGGAAAGGCAAGCTGAATCATACATAAGCTTTAGCGGGAGTTTAAATGATAATTTAAGACAAAACTAGGGAGAGAGCAGTAAGAGTGCTGTTCAAAGGTGTTACCACAAAGGCAAGCAATGCATGCACCCTGTATACAAGTAAGATAGGCATTTATAGATGACATGACATTTTGGCAAGCAGGGAAGCTCACGGTCTTCTTATCTGCTTATCACTGTGGGGTTGTCTGTTAATGAAGGATCTCAGCTCAGGTTTTCCTGGAACAGGATTGCTGTATGTACTTCCTACACAGCACTTTGTCACTTTGAAAATTAATCTCTGGATGAAAAGCTTTGCCAAGTGCCAAATAAGATGAGTGTCAGCTTCATTTGTTCAGAGTAATGGTGACATCCAGTGGCCACTAGGCTAATGTCAGCCACAATAACCAGGGTAACCTCATACATCAGGAAGGATATTCTCATGTCATCAATTTACAGGATTAAAGATGCCTTTTCATCTTGTAGTCTACAACAAGTGTAGTTATATTAAAAGCAACATTAAAATCATCCAGTACAAGGATATCTAGTGCCAACATCACTTACAGGTATCTTACAGTTACATAACTTACAAGCTTTATATTGTTTTTAGAAATCACATAAAAACTGATGAGACAAAAGCTCTGTGCCGATTTGTTATTTCTTAAGTAGAAGAAAATTACATAAATAATTCAAGGGAAAAGCTCAGCCATTTTTCCCATCAAGAAGAAGGAGGAAGGAAAAATTACCATAGATTGGACAGCTTTATCAGCTAATGTCATGACTGGGTAATTCTATTCTTTTATTGCTTCAGTGTCTCTTCTGTTTCCAAAGTGACTACTGCTTCATTCTAATTAATTAGTAACTACTTTAAATGCAGGCCTGTCCAAGTCAAGACTGAGATATTTGTGGAATTGTACAGGCATTTCCTGGATGCTTTTTCCTGTGTGTTAGCTGTTCAGAGGATATTATTTATTATGTACACTCAGATAATAAAAACATGATTACACTGAGGTCCGGGTGACCTACAATAACATTGGTAATATAAAATAATCCCCCAACATTGAAGTAAATCATTGCAACAGGAACTCTGTTAGCCAGTTACCTACAAAAACCACTTCTCCACCCCTGCATCACTTCAAAATGCACATGTACAACCCTCTTCAATCGACAGAAGATTGTTTTTTGCAAACTGACGTTGCTGACCACAAGTGTGACAGTAATAAACAGATCCCATGATAGCCACACGTACTTCTCTCATGTTAATTAAGAATAGACACAACCAAAATGTCTCCAAAGATGTGGAAAAAACTGTTTTCCAAACTGGTTTCTTTTACCACAGAGTAGCTCTGTTTCCTGTTTTCATACGGGAAAGAATAAAGTAATACTTACTTTTCCAAATATTTCTGGGAGTCCCAAAACTTGACCAGTAAAAACGCCAATACAAATGAAGATTGCTGTGACCTGCCCCAAAGAACCACGTATTTCCTTTGGCGAGATTTCACTCAAATACATGGGAAGAGCACTGAGAGAAACACCTGTGAAGAGGGAAAG